TAATATCCCCTAAGGCCATGCCGGCTATAAACAGAAACTCTTGTCGCTGACGGTTTTTCTTGATTAAAAGGATAACAGCTAGAAGAGCTGAATGCATCAAACTAAAAAGAAAACCTGAAATCAAATTACTTCTAATTGAATACACATGCGATGACATTACTGAGCACTACGCAGATCAGAAGGATAGATACCACCGACATTTCTCGAACAATATTCGGACGACGACTGAAAAGATGTATTTGTCGCTGTAAAAATCTAGCTGATCAGTTAGTTAATGATAGCTTCTGCAGAACTCTCATCAGCATTAATGCATACCTTTCGTATTCCTGCTGAAGATTTAGGATTGGAAGTGTTGGTCAGCTGGCAGCTGGTGAAACGGTAAGAGCTTCTGATTTCTCCTTCATCAGGAGATAATATATGATTAGATATGTGACAACTGACTGAGAAACAAATAAAAAACAGAGAGAAATGTAATCTACCCGAACATTCTGTAAGATCATCGAATACTTCTCCAACACAGGTGAGCTGATGAATACACGGTTGATGTCCCCGAGGATGAAGGAGATGGAGTTGATGTAGACCAATGTAGCTGAGATAAAAAGATGAAATGAAGAGGAAACAAAGATTGAAACCTCCAAAAGCGACAAGCTTACGTATTTTGGATAGTCCTTGCTCTTTCGAAGATTCATTGTTAAGCTGAGAAAGGAAGTGCAATATTCAAGAAGACGGAAGTAATCAAACCAATTTCTTATGAAGAAGACCACTTGTTGCTAGTCCCAAATTAATAATAATGAAAAGCCATCGAATGATTTTGATATTCAAATGTAATTTAATTCCAAGAACAAGTTTCCGTGAACAATTAACATCAACTAAATTTGATCCACTTCGATAATATAATGCTATTATCGTCTCAATGACTGCCGATAATGTGGGAATGAACACACTTGCTACAAACAAAAACTTTGTTTACCAAAAAAGGAATTAACTCTTAAGAGAGAGAGAAGAGAAGAGAGAATGAAATAGAATACCTCCAATTATCGAAATTATTAGTTTGCTGAAGATGTTCACATGGCACAGCTGAGGTCTGAGTACTAATAGCGTTGAACAGAGAGCTGTGAGGAATGGACCCCAAATGAGTGCCCACACACCTAATACTTGTTGGAGAATTACAAAGTTCAAGATACAATCTGTCTGAGTAATATTGGACTTATCTGGTAAATGACGGAAATGATTTGAAATGTCATTGATTGACTCACCAATAGAGCTGAACTGATCGAATAAGACGATTCGTAAGTAATGTATGATGTTAGTAAAATAAAAAATAAAATCCGAAACGACAAACGGTACGGACAGGAAGACGGTCGTCTTAGCAGGACTATGATAACGTCTTAAGTAATTCATTGCACAGAAGAGAAATATGTTTGTCAAAACAAGAATGAAACCTATAACATCTGATTATAGATATGCGGAAGTAACATATAAGCTTACTTATGGAAATGACTGTTATGTAATAAATCAGATCAGTCATTGTGAGATGCGGAAGAGGAAATGTGAGAGAGATAGAGCTGTGTATCTACGCATTTAACATTTGTATGTAATATACAACAAACATTATTATAATAATAATAGTATAATTAATATAATTATAAGCTCACACTCTCTCTCTCACTCGCGATCAAAGCTTATCAATTATTCTTTTATTTTTCAATTAAATAGAAAGAAGGAATAAATTTATTTATTATTCTATTTAAATCAACCGTTCATGCTTGAGACGTCAGTTTCAAATGAAAAGATTTCACGTGGCATTTACGTACGTGAGTTGGAAAGTGTATGCTAATTTGCATATTCAAATTTTTGAAATAACGGATGCGACTCTTTCACTCCACCACCAGCCTAGTTCCGGAAACAAAATGCTGATAGCTGTGCAAGTGAGAAAAAGCTTAAATAATAAATATTATTCAGATGGTTAGATAGTAAATACAGTAATTACCCTGAGTATGTCTGCCAGAATAGTATAGATGATGAAGAACCAATCGTCACTCATTGATCGCACAAAATCTATTGCGAAGATGGCTATAGATGATATGAACATGGTGAAGCCTTCAAATATCTTTTTCATTTCTTCTAATTATATCTTAATTCTGCCTAGTTTCAGAATTGTTCCAAACATTCGCTTCGTATGCATTAGGAAGCGCCAATCATTGCTGACGTTGGGTTGCATTCTCTTCAACAAGAAATCGTCATCTGTTTTCTTGATTCACTCACCTTCTTCGCTTTCACATATGCTATAATTACTGAGACAAAGCTTAAGCTGAATATGGATATGCGTATGAGCTGAGTCATTCGATAGAAATCCTCGCCAAGCACATCAATTCGAAAACACAAACCAGACAGTCGAGTATTCTCACACTTTTTGTAATTCATAAACCAAATCTCAGTAACAACAGCGATGGTTGTACAGGCGATTGTTCCTGAATAGATGAAAGAAGACTTCACGTTTCGTTCATTTCAAACCTCCGAAAGGTAACAAAGCGATATGCCAATCGAAAACATCGAAAAACTCTATAGGATATGTGGCGACGTAGATGAGACAAAGGGCTGTGAAGGCAACTGTGAAAGAAATCGACCATGAGCCTATATTCTGAAGGATAACTGCCGGATTATATAAACATTCATAACGCAGTGAGTATATCTGATCTGCAAAAACATAGAAATGAAACTATCATCATCATCATTTCAGTGCCATGTTCCTTCGCGTTCAAATATTTCTCCACCCGTTGCCAAGCCATAAATAGGTGGCCTAATGGATAAACTCCACTCAAGATTAAGTAAGCCACTATCAACAGAAGTTCATTGCGTTCACGTAGTTTGCGGATAATGCAAAATCTCACAGTTAAGATGATAATCCATATTAGGGCTAAGGAAGCTTAAACATTCAATCTCACAGCTACATTGGAAATGAAAAGTAAAAACTACCAGAACAGACGAGTGTTATGAGTAAAGTTACAAGCGACATAGCGAATGAACAACATTGAATAATCCCTTTTCTAAATTTATTTTCTAATTGTAGTTCATTTTACAAAAACACTTTATAATTATCTTAGCCTCATGACAATTACTATCAATGCCACCTCTCTTTGCCGTTCACTCAGAGGGTCACTAATGATAGATAGCCAAGAGAAATGGTAAAGTTGTCTTTGAAAGGCTCATCAAACCACTTCCGCATGACCTTTTTAGTGTTATTCGTTCTAAACTACAAACTGACTGCTCCCTACATACGAACTGATTTATGTTTTTCAAAAGACTCTCCTGAGGAAGGCGGAACAGCCCACTACTTACCAGTTCATTCACAACAGTTTTTGATCTTCAAGAAGTTTATGCATATCAGAAATGTAAGTTATGTGATTTATTCATGAAGCATACACCCTCTCTTTTACTTATTTTCTTGTTCTGTTGCGATATTTTTCTTTTTTTTCTCAAAACTTTTGTTTTTCCCTTCCCCTTCTTGAATGCACTCAAATGGATTTGCTTCACCTGTTAGTTTGAACTGTATAGAGCCTGCTTCCTGTCGAGGATAACAACTATTCTGACCTCTGAAAGATGTGTTATCTTTAAGCATCTGACCTTCATGTGCCTGCTCTCAGCTGTTCTTGTCTTTTTCGGTTTCATATGCAATCGCGTCCTCAAACGAGTTCTTTATTGCCTCAGGGGGATGGTTGGTGGCTTGTCGCGACGATATCGTCTTGGTAGAAAGACAAAACAGAACATTTTGCATTGTAGAACTAATAGAAGATGGAGAGACAGACAGAGGAGAGGATAGGAAAGATTTCGTAATAGCCCAGATATCTTAGAAAATCGTCATCATCCATGTATGGACATGAAGAGCTAGTTTGGGTAGAGGGGCTTCTCGTCTCTCCGAATATTACGTAATTTGCAAAAAGGAGATTTTATATCCATTTAAGGATGTTTGAATCCCCATGTTTGTCTGTTTATAAATATTTCAACGAATCTTAATTGTTGCCCGACTTGTTCTTCATTCAAAAATATTATGAAAAGTCGTTTTTTTCTTTTTTCTTTCCATGCAGAAGCTGAGATAAGCATCTTCACTCCAGAATCTTTATACTTTCATTTGTTAACTGATTTCTTACATTCCTTCTTTCTCCCCTTTGCTTTCCACACGAATAGAAAAACTTTTTTTTTCGTTCAAACTCATTTCTGACTTCTCTATCGATTGCGAAAACTATTTGAAACTTCAGAAGTTTGTTCAACTCGATGTTTTTCATAAAAAAATGTTTTTTTCTTCTCCTCTCACACCCTCTACCTCCCTCTGTTTCCTTCTTCTTCTCTCTCTACCTCACTACTTCTTTCTACCTCTCTCTACCTCCCCTTTCTGAAGAAACTCTGTCTGCTTCACCAAACTAAAACAAAGACAGGTTTGAAGCTGAGCAGGTCAATGCATGTTCATTCATTTTCGACTTAAAAAACATGATTTTTAAAGAGAAACTTCTTATTTTATAAATGAAATGGTGTTGTTCAAATGCTTTCCATGACATTGGTGAAAACACAATGATATAAGCCAAACAACAAGTTTTATCCGCTCTTCTTTACGTGTTTAAAACAAATTGTAAGATGCTGAGAAGACGTTTGAAGCATTCGGAAGATGATGGTTCTGTTCATTCACACACGTTTCATAGAACACGAACAGTACAAATTACCATTAATTCCAATGTTCATTAGTTTGTTCCTTGAACACAGAGAGAGAAGGAGAGGTAGAAGCAGAGAGACTTTGAGAGAGAGAGGGAGAGAGAGAACAAGTGTGTGAGGGGGAAGATTTAACTTGAAATGCACTTAGTTTTTCGAGAAGGATTACAACTTCCATTACACTTCTTACTATTCCATCTCGATCCAGTCAATTGTACATCTGAGAGGGAGAGAGAGAGAAAGCAAGAAGCTAAGTAGAGCCTGAGAAAAGCAGAAAAGAAGTTTATCCAGTAATAATAAGAGAAAAGATGGTCAATAAGAGAGGAAAAAAGGAGACCAGTTATTGACTCAGAGAGTTTTCTTTAGAAAGTGTCATATGTTTTGGCAACATAAATAACATTGGAATATACTAAACATTCAAGACAAACTTTATTTTTCTTTTTGCTCAGTTTAAAGAGGACGCTGTCCTTTCATATGATTAACTTTATCAAATTTCTTCAATTTTTAAAGAGAGAGAGAGAGAGAGAGAGAGAGAGAGAGAGAGAGAGAGATATGAGAGGAGAGAGAGGAGAGGGAGAGATAGAAGCATCAAAGGTGTGTCGATTGTGACTTCTTTGGAAACACGATTTGGACGAAGTTGGCATAGATGCCTGACAACTCTTTCGACTTCAATATAGCAATTATAGTTTCGTTTATCTTGTTTTCTTTTCTATTCGGTAAACTATCACCCATCTTCTATTGATTGACAGTTCTCCTTCCTTCTATGCCCATTCTCTTGTTCTTTGAATAAATTTTATTTTTTTCCTTTCAATTTAAAAATATTTGAATTTCGATCAAAATGGTAATTTGAATGAGCTCTCCTGAGGATATTCGAGACACAATAAGAAGCTTTTATCTCCTTTTTTGGTTAAAACATCTGTCGATCGGCATTTCTTCTCACTCTCTATCCCACCTGCTTCAGCGCTCTCACGTGAAACACGGTCGTTGTCTGACGTTTTTTTATTTTTCAATCAAATCTCGTGTGAGAGCGGTTGTTCTTCAACGCTGTGCTGCAACAACAGATTTCCTTTCTTACTCATTTGAAATTCATTTAATTTTAGGTAAAATGACAGATGTGCGAGAGATGAAGAAAGGAAGGAAAAGGAAAATAGATTTGCCCCATTTGAACATTCAGTTTTTAAGTTTTTATTTCATTTGTATGTTTTGCTTTCATAAGACGTACAGCTAATTCTCCTTTGCTGCTGCATTCCATCTCCTACTTTCCAAAACACAACTGTACTTCTGCTTCTTCTCTCTTCTTCTCCCATCATCTCCTGCTCGTCCCTCGTTTATTCAGCTGCCAGTTGACAAAGTTTAGACGACGAATCGTTAATCTTCTAACATTCCTTTTGGAAAAGTTTTTTTTCCTGTCAAATTTACCAAACGAGGAATCTTTTTGTTTGAAAGTATGCTGAAATTCAAGTCATATGGCAATACTTTTCGTGATCTTTATCAAAACCTTTTTCTTTTCTTCGTTTTTTGAGAAGATTTTCGACTGAAACTTCAATGGAACTGCTTGTTTTGCCGTTCAAAACAGATTTAAGCTTCTGCTATGAAAGCTTACAATGACGTTCTTTCTCATTTATTTTTCGTTTCAATATCATCTGATTCTTATCAAGAATCCTATTTGGAGGATCTAGAAAGTTGATTATCAGAGAACATTTTATCACAAACAGTCCCTCCATCCTTTGCTTCAATCTTCTGTAGTGTGCCACTCCTTCTCCAGTGTCATCATCTAACGCGAATAATTGAAAGTGAAGATAACAAGCCATTTATGAAATCGATTGAATGACCCCATGAAAATATAGAATTTTACCGTTTTCCGTACCATTAAGGTCACTTTCGTCTCGCCACTTGGCTTTCTTTATCGTCGGTCTGAAAATGATGGTGGAATCAGTCCGATTTACAGGCATGTAGTAACTTCTTATCTCAAAAATCGATTGAAGCAAATTCCCTTCTCCTGACATAAATGTATATATCTTGGAACAAAAACACTTTTTCTGCTTTTTCATCGAAAAAAAAGAATGAAGAAGACGCAAAAAAAATAGAAAAAGCAATCGATAGTCAGCTTTTCCATTATTTCAGATTATTCTCGTTTGTGTCCATCTCACACTCTTATGGTCAATGTATTTTGTCTTTTCTATCTGTTAAACCAGTTTTCACTATCATTAGCGGTAGATTCGAAAGATTTTTGCTTTCCAGGTCTTTGAAAGCTTTTTCTCCTTGTTAGTCACATATCATATCAATAATACCTCCTACGCATTCATCATCTTAACTTTCACTCAACCCCTCGTCCTCCTATGTGAGATAACATTTGGATTGAGTTAATCTTCCTTTCCGACGACCTTTCATACATCAAAAATCCGTGATCATTGCTTCTGTGTTTCAAAGTAAATAAACACAAAACTTAATCCATTTTGAGGAGTTTCACTGTAGAGAAAATAATATTTTTGTTTGATATCTCTCTCACTCTGTGTTCAGTTGATTGCAATTTCCTCAAATGAATCACATTTGACAAACTTTTGAATCAAAAACATTCACGCCGTTCGCCATTCTCTCTTTCACCTTCTCTATTCATTCAAGGAATTCACAAAACTTTCCTTTATTATCAATTACTTCCAAAGTCCTTTATCACACAGCTAGTTCCGACGTCACTCAGAATTCTGACGCCACTTCGTCATAAGTATGCAAAACTTCCGACAATGTTTCCTCTCTCACATCTTCTACTCTCCCCTGATGTGTTCAGCCATCTGTCTGTCGCCGTTTTTTTTGTTTATTTTATTTTTTTTGCAATTTTTTACATTAGAATTGCATTTTTTTGCGGAATTCCGCTGTCGCTATCCTCTTGCCATCCCTTTTTTGACATCACCTTGATCTTCTTCAGCCATTTTTCTGATGTCATCTCAACCAGTTTTCTATTTTTATTTTCTTATTTTTCATTCAAATTAAAGGACATATATATATATATGCGTGTGTACGTACGTGTGAGTGTGTATGAGTGCGTGCATGATTCTTCTCAACGCGTTCCTTTTCAACTTCTCATGTGTCCTTTTGTCTTTTGAAAAATAAAAAAAAGCCTTCGGTCCCCTTTATCAATTGCCATCGTCTTCTGTTATGTGTTTTGTGAGAAATATTTTAGAAACAAAATACATTTTGATGATTTTAGTGAGAAAGTTGAGAAATGATTGTAAGAACCAACCGCTCAGTGCACCTATCGCTATGAAATAGATCAAAAACAACCGGTTTATCAAATTTAAAAATTAAAAATGAGTTGTTATCAGCTTTTCTGTTATCGATTACCAAACTATGCTTAACGACGTAAGAAAATCAGAAATTCTTTTAAAAATATATTTTTGTTCCTCTTTCTCCTCCTCTCTTGAGTGTGTTTCCATCTTTAGTTCTGAACGAATCAGTCTTGTCGCTAGTCGACATCAGGAAAAATCATTTATGAAAGAAAATATTAATGAAAAACGACTCGAAGTTGTTTCTTAAAAATTACAAAATTACAAGAGAGAATTAATGAGCGAAATCTATCTGGTTTTCCTCCCTCAAGTCAAGTTTCTGACTCCCCTTTTGACCCGAAAAAATCTTCGACGAAAAAGAATATTTTTGCACTTGGAAAATTTGGAATTTGTTGCTTTATCTCCTTGTACCATCTTGTTCCTAAACGTTGTTCGAGATGTCACCTTCATCGACGTTGCTAAAATCATTTATTTTGTGAATTTCCGATTTGGGTTTGACACTCATCTTTAATTCTCGTCCTTTACTACCTTCCTTCTTGTTTTTTCATCTTCTCTCTCTCTGTTTTCCCATCTTCCCGTTTCTCTCTCTCTCAACACTAAATCTTCTACAAGGTTTTAAGTGTATTAGAGGAAAACATCAGAAGGATCGGAGGAGAGCCTGATGACCTCGTAACCTTCCTAGTTTCTCTTCATCTCCACTTCTTTTTCCATTGTTAGCCACATAATAGACCTGCCAAATATGTCCAGTTTCTAGGTTTTTCCATTCGTAGACACCTTCTATTGATTTTCTCAGTCTCACATTACTTTCCGTGTTCGACAGGAATGTATTAGTTCCTTATTTCTATGCTTATAAGCTTTTTCTGGCACTTTATGGTTTCCAAAAACCTTTTTTCGCTTCTTCCCTACCTCCGGTTTGGAGTGTATGCTATCCCGAGATCTCGCGACTACATGAACATTCGTATTCTCTACTTGAATATCTTAACAATCACAATCAGTACATATTGGGAAGAAAAACTTCCATATTAGGCCAACACAACAATGAAACAAAGGACAACCTTGTTGATAATACGAACTGCCTTGTGACCTGATGATGTCAAAAAAAACGTTTTCGATTTGATATTCTCATTTGTTACTTTTGAATTCAACTTTGTATTTGCAGAAGCTTATATCCTCACTTAGTTTCGTTTAGCAATCGTTTTTGCTGCTGTTGTATAGACACTTAACCTTTCGCTTTCAACATTTCCGGATTTGTCTCTTTGCCTCAGCATGCGCTATTTCAACGGAAAATTTCCGGTTCAATCCCCTTCCGTCATAAACTATCACCTGACTCTTTGGAGTTTAGCTTTCATCCTCTTCAGCTTCTTCTGCTATGACTTATGAGGCAAATAGATGACTAAAACATTATTTTGCTTCTCACATTTGTTAGAGACTTCCCAGAAGATTTTATTAGCCTGAGATGAGAAAATGAAGGAAGAGAGCAATCAGTGTCCCCTAAGGACACACAATTGCTAGCGAAACTGTTAAAAATTTCATTTTTTCCTTCCTCCTCCTACATTTCCATGTATACTTTTCTTTCAATTTCATTTTATTCATTTCATTCATTCCTTTCTCATCGTTCTACAACTGCATTGTCCGTTCAACAAAAAAATTGGCTTAACATTTGCATAAGCTTTATATATTCAGGTTTTTCGTCAACCCTACACTAACCTTTTGCGATTATTATTGACAGTCTCATCATCATCCTTCTACTGCAATTTTTTAATTTTTATAAATTTTACATGATTTTCGTGACGTTCGTTTCAAGTGCTGCTAAAGGTGACAAAAGAAGAAAGAATCTAGCATGCCATGAGAGCTCGGAGAAACAGAAAGTTAGAAAAAGCGCGCAGAGCTGATTCATCATCTGCGCTATTTAGCTATACCTTCTTCCTTCATCCTCTCCCCCACCCTTCTATCTTCCTTCTCATTCTGTTCTTTTTGTGATCTTTTCCTCCAGCTTCTGTGTGTTTGCATGAAAGAATAGACGATTTGTGATTGAGAGAGAGGGAGAGAGGGAGAGAGAGAAAGAAACAGAGAGCGAACAAGAGAGTGCGAAGAAAAAGTAAAAGACTGTTCATTGGAAGAGAAGCATAGCGAAGATTGTAGCGAACGAAAGAGCATAACAACACATTAGATTCGAAGAGGAGATGAAGAAGCAAAGATAAATTATGTCTGTTATTTCGAACAAGAGAAAATTAGAGAAAAAGAAATTGTCTATGATGAACATACAGATGAATTCAGCACAAAAGAGACTGAAGAACAGAACATTCTGTGAAACCACCACGACAAAAAGGAGAAGAAGTTGAAGTTCTGAGTTGTAAGTGCTGTAGGCAATGCTCAGCATCTGCTCAGTCAGGAAACTCACCACATGTTGCAATTTCTTTGCTTTCTCCTTCATGTCTTACTCTCTCTCTCTCATGTGTATGTGTGTATGTGCATATTTCCCGAATATTACGGCCATTATAATCATATTAAATTGTTTTTTGTTCATATTACATTCTGTCTTTCCATTTGTATTCATAATTCGTCTCGCTCTCACGTAGTTCTGACGTCATCAGTCTTCGACTCTGTGTGGGCTTGGCAGCTGTTGCCCCTGGAGCCGAAATGCGTGCACGTCGACATATGCAATATCATAAATGATCTCTCGGCGTTTAACTGACAATCGATTAGCATTCCTCAAATCCGTCCCCTCTTTCTTCACGTCTTTCAATGGTTTAATTCCTTTCACGGCGTTTGACCGCAATTCCTTTAATATGAAACCGAGAAAGACTTTTTGACATCAACCAGTCTCTGCTCGACTTCGCTGTTACAGTTCCTTCAGAACATCTTCTTTTTTCTCTCACTTTCCCTTTCTATTTCAACATTTCTTTGCCTCAAGGCATCATTTCTTGACTTCGATGTCTTGTGAATACCCTCTCCCCTCTGTGAATGACAGTCAAGCCGGATCTAGACTGGTTTTTGCTCCTGCTGTCTCACCCTCTCGTTCTACAGAGGTTACGAGCTCAACTCAATACCGGAAGAGGAGAAGCTGAAATAGATGTAGCGGAAGCTGCTCTGCTCATCTATTTCTATATGGAACCCTCTCTGAATGTCATTTTTCTCCATTTTCAAGTTTATCATCATCAAATTTTCGTTTCTATCACATATTCGATGAATCTTATCATGTTCATTGAGCTGGAACAAACAGAAAAATGTCGTCGACGTCGTCTAACGGGTGCCGGAACTGTGACATCGACGAAGACGTTGACAAGCTATTTCTTCCGTTGAGCATTATCAATGTCTTTGCTCTAACGTGCTCGCATATGAAGAAGTCAATGAAAATTCTTTTGAGCTTAAATTCGGTCCGACGAATCGAATTTCCGGATTGTAAAGACACAAAACAACCATTTTGTCATTTATGAGAAGTTGATGTCTCGCTTTGCTTACTCCTTGTCGTTCTACTTGACTTGATCTCTGCTTCGTTTTTTTTTTTCATCGAATATTTTTCTGTGGTTCAAATTAAGAAAACGGTTTTCCCTTTCGTTCTCACTCGAAGTGTGTACAGTTTGAATCTCTGTTCGCACTCGCCCAAGAATTTGCTTTGTAAGTTCACATTAACTAATTCATCTCTCAATATTTGATCTCTGTCAAGTACAACTGAACTTCTTCGTCATACTAAGGTCTTCTGTCTACTATATGGCTGCTCTCACTCTCTCTCTTCTTAAATCGAAGAGAAGTCTATTCACTTCCATAATTCTCTTTTAGTTTTACATTCGCACAGCTGTTTTTCACAGATTTTGGCTAATTATCTCTTCAATCACACTTTGCTCGCCCACCTAACTATCTCCTATTCATACCATTGACAAAACAACCCGTCTACTGATCACAAATGAGTTCGGAGCACGAGTAAGAGCTTCAAACATCAGTTATTTTTTGTTGTTCAACACTTTCTGCTCACAATCTTGGGCGTTCCTCTATGGCTTCGTCGCAACTATTGAGTAATTTTGACAAGCGTTGTCGCTCGCGGGTTCGTACGCGTCGCGCCGACCGCTTGGAGCGACATCGAATCCAGTCTGATGGTGGTCGACGCGAGGTCGTCGCCCAAGCGCTCAACCACGTGAGGCTGTGGCATTTAGAATTTATCGTTGTTTTAAGTGCCTTATTTGGAAGAACATGCTGTACTTTCCGTATCATATTCCGAGAAGTGTTTATAGTAGGAAGGAAATCAGTTATTTTCATATTATTTTTGAATTTCATGTACTCCCGGCTATACACAGCAAGTCGTCCTCTCACTGTTTTTCCTTATTTGCTTTCTATTTGGCTAATGATTTCCTTTTTTTCTTTTGATTTGTCGTTGTGTTTATGCTTTTACCTGCATTATTCATTTATCTTAATATTATTATTCGCAGACAGGATCTAATCCTTGAATGCTACGTTGATATCTTGCCTACTAAATGACTGACATTATTCCTGAAGAAGATGGTTTACGCAACAGAAGCGATAGCCTGAAGGCGCTATCCGTAAATTCAGGTCAGGCTTTGTTGTTTTGCATTCCATTTCGTTCCAAACTTTCGAGAGTTAAGCTGGGATTACACCCAGGTTAATTCCAACTGTGAAATTTCTGTCGGTTCTCGCTATTACTCAGCGATTATCATGTGTTTTCACTCGTCAAAACTTCTCTGTTGTGTAATTTTAACCTTAAAAGGGATATCAGCTGACTGGATATCCGTTTGTGCGAGCAACATATTGAATTAGAGAAGAGTTGTTGCTGACCTATGCTCATGTCTGTTATTTAGATTCTTGCAACGATAGCTGTTTGGGATATTCCGAAGAAGATGAACCTGCGTTGGATCAGAAACATCTCAACCTAATTCACGAAGAGTTGGAGAAGTTGAACATAGCTACTGATGTTATAAACAAGTTGGAAGTACAGCTGGATGTAGCTCGAGCAGACTTCAGGCAAGTCTTGTGTATCTTTTCTAATCAACTCCAGGAGCTCTACTAGTACTTGTAGTTGTTTTGTGAAGACTAGTTGAAGCTTACGAA